TCACTCCTGGGAGCCTCTTCTTCTCGTGTCTCTTCTCGAAGGAAGTTGCACTGCTCTTTGGATTTGAAACGCAGTGAGACCTCCTGTCCTGGTGAAGCGGCTCTTACAGAAGTGTACAATTGCAAGATCAGACATCTGAAACATCATTCCCACATGATTTCCAGAAAATGCACGAACATTAATCGAACTCTCTCTATCTGAGCCGGGCTAATCTCCTGCCATGGTTTTCCTGCCCCAACTGCTTTTGGAGAATCTCCACATATCTCCACCTTTCCACTCCCATCATCTCCCCGGGTCACGGTCTCCTGAGGCCCATTGTTTCAAGGTGGACAGGTGCTGAGTCGTCAGGCCCAACATGCCCAGGCAGTTCAACTCGGCGGCCGCCGCCATGTTCGTGGCTCGCTCCACCAGGAGGTACTTGTCCTAAAAGAAAACTCCACGGACTCCAGGCTAGATGTGGCTGATGTGGCTGGTAACATCTGGCAACCATGGTTAGAAAGTTACGGCACTTGGGGGGTTCAATCTACATGACTTGTTCTGAATGTCTTGATCATAATATATCATAATCATCCCACTGTGGGCTCTCCCACTGCTGAGAAGAACACCACTGTGCCCCGGGCCCCGGTGCTGCCTCATATTCATGATGAACATCCCCTGAGGCAGGTGAGTCAACAAAGCACCAAGGGCCGTGCAAACAGAGCACATGCATGTTTTATCCAAGACTTAAAGCTATTATATATAACAGTTAACATCTGAACCCATCGAACACTGAAACATATGAACAATTCGGGTTCTGAGTTCTAAAAAACCTGCTAACAAAAAAAAAACTGAACCACATGGAAACCTGGCGTTTTGGAAGGTGATGTTCCTCTTGAATTCCTTGCATTTCCATGCGTTTCCAAGTTTTCTTGGATGGCTTTCAAGAACATGTTGGAAGGTGGCCTGCAATCTGTGGTGACTTCTCGGCCCCAAGGATCTGTTTCACCTTCCTGGGCAAAACAAAACACAGGAGTCACCAGCACAGATAGGATGCTCTCTTGAGTTGCTGGGACCCAAAAATCTATGAGAGAAACCATGCTTGGAGTATCAATACTACCCCTTCAACATGCCGAAATGGAGGTGAACCGCTCTGTATCGCCTTTTTAAATATACTATGCGCATGTATGTACGTAAATACACACATACATATATGCATGCATCAAGATGTTGATTTTCAAAGAAGAAATCTTAAATAAAGATTGGATCAATAAAGCCTGGCCATATATCAGGCCTCTGGGTATGGTTCAAAAGATTCAAAACTCTGGGTACTCTCTTGCAAAAACAGTGGCAATGGGAAATCCCCCGCCTACCCGGCATTTATCCGGATGATTTAGCTAAGGCAGAATAAGGAATCCTGATTGCCTGATTTCATTTCAGCAATTTCCAAATGGTACCGGGCATTTCTGCATTTCCAAATGGTACCCAGTACTCACGAATGGGAAACAGGCCCATACAATTTGACTCGTCCTTATTTCCGTCTGCTACTGGAAAGATTCCCAAGATCAAGTTCAGATCAAGTAGCGCAAGAGTAGAAGGTTGGTAATCAGGGTGTTGAGGTCCCTCCAACTGTAAGATACCTTCCTGTAAACTAACATAGATGTTGAAAACCAACTATTTCTACCTCGTTTTCCTAGGGAAACCGTTGGTTTTCCATATCTATGTTAGTTTACCCAGGGGTTCACGTTGGAATACCCAATTACTGGCAATTGATGGTACATGTCCTCACTGTCATGTGCATAGCTATGCCAATAAAATTAAATAAATACGATGCACTTTGCATCATCAAATACTTGTATATACTTATATGTTGTACTGTGAATACTACTGCTAGTATGTTATATGGTGTATTGGATGTATGATAAATGTTATGATTGTATGCTATATTCTCTCTCTCTCTCTCTATTGCTATCAGGTCTCCTTGCCCGAGCTGTGCCGGTGGCTAGTTGTATGACATTCCATGTATATTGTATGTACATATTATATCTAAACAATCTTATAGTCAATAGTCACCTCCAAAACGATGGAAAAGCGATGGAAAAGTAAATCCGCATGAAAATAGGAAGATTCACTTTTCTATCCTTTTGGGGCTCAGTTACTATTAATATGTAAGAGTCATAACAGGGGTTGGTAACTGTCCCATTTTGGGTATATTGGACATCACCTTATAGTAGCCAGTATAGACCATATACCTTTATTTGTTGGGTGATGTTCAATGGGGACATCAGTCATGACCCATGCATAATCAGTCATAATATCAATGGCCATTCCAGGATCCTAAATTGGAGGTACCTACCATATATAAGGCCTATTTTTTAGGCCTATGGTTCAGGGAATATCCCAGCAAAATATGGCCAGAAATATGGTACTAACGTACCTCCATTTTAGGATCCTGGAATTCCCATTGATAATCTCCAAAGCCCCTATTAATGGTTATTAACCATGAGTATTGACCATACCTCATATCTCCAAATGGGTCCCATCTTCCACCATCCCTGGATCCCTGGATCCCCTGGATCTGTCGAGTTTCTCCAAAGCCTGCGAGATCTTGGTCTCGATGCCATGTCGCTGCAAGGAGTCCATGGGCGGCATCGTTCTTGCGTCGTCAGATGTCGTCAGGCAGTGCCGCAACGCGCAACGCAACCAACGAATTGTTAAGCAGAAAATGGATGAAAATGATCCAAGTAGCTGCATGAATCTAGAACATGTTAGTGATACTTAATGCCTGACATATGTAGACACATATATATAGTTGAGATTAATATGAACACTGCTGGAGCTGCTGAGTAGCTGGATCTGCCTCACGTTCTGTTCCTGAAAGCTTGCTGCGTGGCAAAGGACCTACCAAGGATGGATTTGCACTATCCAAAGATGTCAAAATTATGTGTATGTATATGTGTGTGTGCATATGTATATGCAAAAGTATTTATATACTATAGACTGTAGACATGTATAGTCAACAAATATGTTTGATGATATAATGGATGTATTTTTTTGCCCAACAAATGAGAACATAGAAACAACAAATGGATAACTGAATGGTTGATTCATGGATATCAAAACTGGTTGGTGGCTTCAGCCCATCACAAAAAAACTTGGTGTTGGTGATCGTCATCCCAAATTTGGTGGAATTTTTGGGCAGTTGTTCTGAACAAACCAACATTTTGACATGTTTACCAGAGATACATCCAACATTGGTACAGTAATTACCCTCTGGTAATTTAACATAACTATGGAAAATCACCATTTATAGTGAGTTTTCCCATGAAAAATTGTGATTTTCCATAAGTTATGTTAAATTACCAGAGGGTATGTATGATTGCGCTGCGCTTGTTCACTTTGGGATGTAACATGACCACCAGTGGTAGGGATGTGTGATTTGGCCCACTGGCCCATCCATAGAGTACTGAGTACCGCCTCCAGTGACCAGAGCTATGGAAATCCAAAGATTTTCATTGGAAAAAATCTGCATTCATGGTGGAATTTCCATCTCTATGTGAGTTTACTAGAAGATAAATACCATTATATATATATATGCATATATATATATATATGCATATATATTTATATATCTGGGTAAATTATAATATTTCACTAACCTGAATTAGGGCCATTTGGGGATGATTCCTCTTATTGACCATGATTCCAGGGCTCGGTCGCAGTGAGGTCGTTATAATTTACCCAAATGTATATATATAAATATATAATAATAAAAAATAATATATATATATATACCAGTTCCTTGATGGATTGATATTTTGGATAGTGATCCAGTGACACCCCATGTCATCATGTGAGCTGCGCTTGACTCGCTGGACCCCCAGCAGCTCAGCCTTTTGAGCACTGCAGTGGCCTGCCAGGCTTTTTGGCTCAGCTGAGCCAGGGCTGCTACTGCTTCCTGGCACCTTGGGGCCATACCAAGGCCAAGATGAGTCCAGGGAAAGGCTGCTGTGATTCTGACGCTTCATGGACCACCAAAACATGCTGAGATTTTTGGGAATGCATCAGGTGACTTTGGAATGCTTCAAGTGCATAGGAATTGAAGGATCCCAAAAACTCCACAGTTTTTTTTAGTGCGGTACCATGCGGTACCTCCGCTGAAAAACACTCATCCCTCCCAACAAAATGCCCAAAAGCCTCCCAGCCACCAAGTAGGCGCTGGTAGCAATGCTGCTGCTGATTGCATCAGGCTGCTTGCAGCTTTGATACCTTGGCTTCCCATAGCGATAGTTGGGATCCCAGCATCAACAGCTGCCAAATCTGCTGGGAGATGGGCCCCCCCCGGCGGCAGGGGAGAATCCCTTTCTTACATCCATTGATCAATGACTTCCACCTGAAACTGAAATTTATGGATTTCTCAGATTTCTCTCTGCTATGTTAAACATGTTGCAATGAAACGGCCATCTGCCACTGTCCTCCCTCGAAGCAAGCACACATCACCGCGTTGTATGTGATCACATTGGCGACCTGGTTGCAACGGTTCGAGGGCAACTGCTGGTGCCAGGGAGGGCCAGTTGAACTTCTGATGTCTTGGCCTTTCTGGCTCTGCTACTTATAGTTTTCAGGACATCCCCTTCATTTCTTGTTCATGTCTGATGGTATCATATCATATGATATCCCTAAATCTGTTGGCTGAATTGGTTCCTGTGCTGCCATGTGGTGCCTGTTGGATTTGTTTCAACAAATCAAGTTGCATCGGCCTTTTTGGGTTCGATCAGTATCAGTTTGAGTGGCAACAATTGTCCGTTGGATCCCAAGAAATACAAGGAACAAAGTCAAAACACTTCCCAACTCTTACCCTCCGGTCATTTAACATAGCTCTGAAAATGGCCCAGAGACGATTTATATGCCCTTCAGAAATGAGGTGATATTCGATGGCACACCATTCAACGACCAGAGGGATCTCTCATAAAAATTCCAGTTCTATTCCCATTCAGATTCCATTCTACCACCATTTTTGATGCTTAAGTCACCTGTCCCGCAAGATGAAGCTTCCGCAACAGCTCAATGGACCAGCGCCAGCGCCCCGCAAGTTGAGAGGCACCAATGGCCACACCTCAGGCGAGGGGGAGATACGCTGATGATGAACCATGAATTGGCGCAGCTATTTTCAAAGACACCCACAATATATCAATATACGGTATACACTTATCATATCTTATAATTATTTATAATGATTATAATGCATTTTTATAGCATTGAACATCATAAAGACATTTTTATAGCATTGAACATCATAATTCAACAGTTTCTTTCTGGCAACTTCAAAAAATGCAACAATATACATATAGTAACACATGGTAATTAGCGATGATTATATATAATGTCAAAGCTGTTACCATCGACCATGTAATATCCAAACGAGGAGTCTATTGATCACAAGCATCACCCCACCTCCCCGGTGGCAACCAGCGATTTCTTGCCAAGCAGACGAGCAAGTCCCCCAAAACCGAGGTTAAGCACTTATACATTAAAATCAAACCATTGAACCCCATTTGACCCAGTAAACCCCATTATTCCATGTGAAATGTCTTGAAGTCACCTGTAGTTAGTGGCTAACCGCATACCAAGATTGCTTGGCAACCAGCCGAGGCAGATCCGCCAAGCATCTGTAGCTTATCACGTTGGGTTGTGCCAGCGTTGCTTCCAGCTCCGCGAGCAAATCCAGGACCTGTGGAAATCAATGGAGGACGTTGAACAGATTTAGATATTTTAAGGAGCTAGCTAGCGGATTTGATCATTTGATTCACCATCTATATAAATCCAAGAGACTGAACTTTGCAGCTCCACCCAAGAATTTGCCGGAGTGTCTTCACCCCATCCCAAATTGCAGCACGCTCTCCATGTGAATCATGATCCCAGGTACTCGGGTAGAACACATAAGTGTGCTTCAAAGATGTTTTAACAAGTAAATCAGCCTGGCCTGGCCTGGCCTGGAACACTGTTAAAATATGTCAAAACACATCTACCCAAAGGTGATGGTTTGAACACAAATTTGAACATCTCTCCAGCGCCATCTATCGCCATCTCTCATGTTTCCAGCCTTCGGCCAGCGCTCGGCCTGATGCCAGGCGGCCATGGCGATGTTGGAGCGGATGATGTCCTCACCTTTCGTGAAAAAAATCTACCGAGACCCTTCCAGCTATAGCCCGAAAAAAAGATGGTGCTGGTGCCACGGTCGCAGTACTTTAAACACTTTGTTTTGGGATATTTGGAGGCTCTAGGTTTAAGTAAATCCATGTAAATCCCTAAAAAATGGAAAATCATACTGTAATTTACCAATGTATGTTCATCACTATTCTAATAAATATATCGACTTAGGACGATTTTACTTTTCTACAGTATCTGTTACAGTAGGGTTGCTATGGTGCATTAGACACCACAGGAATGGTACCATGGGTCCCTGACCCTTGTGGTGTTTCTGCTGGATGTTTATGACTCCTAGCACTACTTACTTTCTCCGACGGAAATCATTCTTTTCTTTCACAGCTGTATAAAAATCGCTAAATTGATCTAAATTGGGGTTTACCAATTTTGAAACACACGTGTTTGACAATTACAGAATTACATGGGATGTCATTGCAGACTTGTTGCTGGCTTCTCCCAATTTTTTGAGTCCATCAAATCCCGTGGCCATGTGCCTTGATCCAACAACTGCACTGCGATTCGCCATTCGCCCCCCTTCTCACAGGAGCCCGCCACCTCAGTGGGACAGAGATCTGGGATGATCTGGGCCGTTAAAAGGGGCCAAAGGAGACACATGGCCAGTGGACCAAACAAATGGCTGGCCATGTTTTAGATGAACGATTTGAGAAGTACTCATTTGGAACGATCCGATCATATAGGAAAATCATATCCGATCTGCAGCTATTTAAGGTCATTTTCACCTGCATTCCTGATAAATTTAAGGAAGACCTTGGACCTTGAAAGCCGGAAGCCAAGGTGGCTTCCACAAGAATCTCAGAGCCAGGTTGTGAGAAACTCAAACGAAGTATCAATCCACAATCATCAAAACTCCAGACCAAACGCTTAACAATACTTCTGTGCATCACACTTCGCTATGTTGAATCCAACAAAAAAAATGCCATCAAATTCACCCAATGTGAGGTTTGCAACCAAGTGCAACCAGCCGTTCGACTGTTTTCAACAACTCTCAACCCACCAGAACCATCAAAAGTCCATCAATTCCGCCAAAATCAAAACTCCACCAATTTATTTCATTTTTATTTTTAATTCAAAATCCCAGCAAAATCCCATCAAAATTTGCCCTGAAAATTCCCCTGGATCCCCCTCGCCCAGCCGCCCAGCCGCCCAGCTGCCGCGTTGAGCACTGGCTGCGTCGCCTCCAGGCGCTCCAGGCGCACCAGGGCCCAGGGCCAGGCACCGCCGAGCGCGGAGCAGTGGGAGATGACGTCCGGTCGCAGGGTCCTGGGCGCCCTGGGCGCCCTGGGCAAGCATTTGCCATAGGATCCATGGTGCTGGTATATATGCTAACATAAAGGGGGTATATTGATGGGATCCATGTTACCATATATAGCATACATGGATCCTATGGGATTTGCCATCCAATTGATGCGTAAATGATCCCAAGAGAAGATGATGATGAAGTTTATAAGTTTGTTTGTTTTTTTTATAATTGATCTAGAGGATTGTGGCCCAAACATGAGGGATAATGAGGGCATAAGCATCAACGGCCGCTTTTTGTAAACCCATGGGTCATCCCCATGTTGAACCATGGTTGTATTACCATCATTTGAATGAATACCACACTGCATGTCCGACCGAGCCACTGCGTCTCAATCTCCTGCAACAGCCCAAAAGCTTCTGGCCATTGGTTGCCTGTCAGCTGCGAAAGCTGTACCTTCTTTAGGAGTCTGATATGGCAGTTGAACATCGCCACTTGGAATGGGAAACTCATCCAAATTAATACAACTATGAGGATAGATAGTACGTGATATTGCAGGGTTGTGCCTCCCTTGGAAAACTCGGGAAACACCAAACTTCGCTTCCGAGATGTGTTCACCATGTGTGCTGATGCTGAGCAGTCCTAAAATGACACCTACGTAGGACCTACATAAACATCCACCAGTGATATCATCGTAATGATATGTCCACCCCACCCGGACCAGTGTGCTTTGCAAGTCCTTTGTATGCATGTATCATCACTCCAACCATAGCCAGGACCATAACATACCACATCAGAACCCCCTCTTCATGGTGTGCACTCACTCCTGCCCAACACAGCCCCACCCCAAGGCCAACCCCACCGGTCTCGCAGGCGGCGATGGCGGCATTGTAGGCCACCAAATCGCATGGCAAGGACGAAAACTCGTGGAACATCATCAAAGCACGTGGCCACTCCTTCCCAGCTGCTTGGTTCTGATGGGCTGATGGGCTGATGGGCTGACGGGTTGAAGATGAAAGGGTCTGGATCTCTGGGGCACAACCAAACACCCCCCCGATCTACCATACTTCTAGCTGCTGCAAACTCCTCATTCGACAAGATAAGAGCCAAATAAAACACCAATCATGGAAGCAAAGGAAGTTCCACACGTATCATCCCGTGATCACTTGATCCCCTCGCAACCCAAACCCAAGTTTCAAACCTCGCATTTCTGGCAGGCACTGATCACTGTGCTGCAAAAAATCACGTCCAGCTGCATTTGGGACTGCTGAGCTTCCGTCATCAGCCACAGTGCCTTGGTGTTTTCAAACGATGTCCTGCCTAAGGCCTAAGACACCGAGGCCTCAACGCACTATGTACATATGCTTGCTCAAACAAAGTATGTTGGACTTGCATGGCTTTGTCTGAAAATAGCCTACCTCCAAATTCAAGTTTTTTTTTTAAATCACTGTTTTCCTATATTTTCCCCAATCAAGGGTGTCATTTGAGGTGGGAGTACAGACCACTTTCAGACATTCCCATATGGCAGCTACCATGCCCAATGCAATGTTTAATCCACAGTCTGCAGCCCAAATGGCCCACTTCCATCGTTCACCCTTCTCACATGCGCTGGCAGCGGCGCTGTAGCCCACCTCTGAGACTAGCCTTGAGATGCTGAGGTTGAAGATGATCTGAACATAGACCAAAAAAACAACAGCGTCATTCATCCAAAAAAAAACATGTGATAGGAGGTTCATCATCCCAAAATCTGCTTGAACATAGTTGAAAATCACGACTACTACTACCAATCAGATACAAAATATATAATACAAGAATTGGAATAGCCATCGGACTATAATTTACCTAGTATTGATGGTAAATTATCAATAATTTAATGTAATGTAGGAATGATATAATTTAATGTATAATCACTAGTCATTGATGGTAAATCACATATCGGAATAATCCTCGTCAAAAACCTAGTGATGTGACCTTCAGATGGCCGATAAAAAGCAGCACCCCTAATTCCGGGCCTGGCTCCCAGGGCCTGAGCCAACAGGTCCAAAGCCTCGGAGTTTGCATGGGTTAAAAGCCTAGCAATTGGCTTCTTGGGAAATAGCATGTATATATATATATATTATATTAAACTATATTATATATAATATATATATATATATCATATACTGTATATCATATATCATATATCATATGTATATATATATATACTGTAATCAAATATAATTCATGTATTATGTATAATTATAGCTTTACCCCAATTTCTACACATGTATTTTTTGTATAATATATATATATATAGTCATAGTTGAACTAGTTCCAGGGACCATCGCATGTGTCCGTCCGTTTCTTTCTGTTGTCATTCTTTTAGGATACGATCCGTGGATTCATGATCCGTCCCCGGGTTGAGACGGGGGGAAGTGCAAGAGAATCTCATGTTGACCTAGTCATGTTTAAGTCGTCCAAACATGCTAAGTTCCTCCAAAATCTCCGTCTATCCGAGGTTGAAACGAGGTACACCAGCGACCTCAAACCCAAATCATCCATGGCTATCCATGGCTTATGTTTGCAGTACTACTCTACGACCCGAAAGGTTATGGATCCCCTTTGTGGATGGGTATGGGGGCAGTAGTCCCCAATCGATTGAAAGAGATTCCGCCCCTTGAAATTGAGGAATCCATTTCGGTTTTTGCAGCTGCATCCCCATCTAAAGCATGGAATCAAAAGTCCTAGGCTCCTAGACTGATTGCCAAACTACCCTCTGGTAATTTAACATAACTATGGAAAATCACCATTTTTAATGGGAAAATCCACTATAAATGGCCATTTTCAATAGCTATGTTAGTTTACCAGAGGGTAACTCGCAGTTCCACGGAATTTCCAACCTCGTTCCATTGCCAAGTGACCCATTGCCATTGCCCACTCTTCTCACAAGCGCTGATGGCAGCATTGTAACTGATCTCATCTGCGAGGCGCTCCTGTCTCAAGCATTGATGAATTCGACTGCTCTATAAACACTTTTCCAGAACATCCAGAACGCATGATCCACAAGCTCTAATCTTGGAAAAACTCAACAAACTGCCAGGGTCTTCAGCCGTGCTAAACTTGAAACATCCCATGAAGGGCTCCCCTGTCGTCCTCGCAGGCATTGTGCAAGGCGAGCACTGCCAGGTGCCATGGGCCACCGGGGCCACCGGGGCCACCGGGGCCACCGGCCTTTGCGAAACTGCTGATGGCCGTGTTGGAAATTATCCTTGACTTTGCGCAGGTGATCGCCGGAGGAAAGTTTGATCTACCCTCTGGTAATTTAACATAGCTATTGAAAATCACCTTTTTTAATGGGAAAACTCACTATAAATGGCCATTTTCAATAGCTATGTTAAATTACCAGAGGGTATGGCATCTATGGGCCCAATGAAACAGAAGAAATCTGAGGACATGATTGCCCTCTTGTGCTCACATAGAAATAAATAAATTATAAAACGGGACCTCCTGGGAGTGCAGTTTTCACATGATTTAAGATGATATTTTCGGGGGTTGCAATGCACTCCAAAATGCGCTTTTGCACAACATTTTGACCAGACTAGTTGAAATCTTGAAAAAAAAGAATAAAATTCAATAGAACTATCCCGATCAAATGGTATGATATGGTAAGAAAATATTAGACATACCACATAAATAGCAGAACATGTGAACTATCGTTGAGATCTTTTCCTTTGGCATATATCCAAAGGTATGGCATGTTTGGGGTTGCATCCTAACCATCTCTGGGTTACAGGGGTTACAAGGGGTGAATCAGTGAATCACCCAAGTTTCCAAGCATGGATCCTAACATGGGACCTCGGCAGGCTGGGACTCTTGATATAGACTGGATATGAATGATCCTGTCATATCCTCGCCAGGAATCTGCCAAGGCTCAAATTTGGCTGCAACGCTCTCAGGTCCATAGTTTTCACTAACGTGGCAGCCTCTTGCCACTGGCTTTTAGCCTGGGCTGCTAGAGGTGGCCACATCTCAATTCAGAACACTGCTGGAAATGTGGGAAATCCATGGGATTTCCCAATATTTTCTCCAGTTTCTTTTCAACATATTAACATAATTTAACATATGTGTTGCCCAAAAAGGCGCTCACCTGACCTTTAAATTATATAACTTCATGATATTCCATGGCTAGATTCGATGAGCCGAATTTGTTTAAAAAAAATGATTTCACCACCAAAGTGGCCTCACATGCACTGAGAGCTGCTCCATACGCCACCTGGCCATGGTGTGACGGATCTATTCGTCCGCTATGAGTGGTATTTAGTTCTCTCTTACGCATATCAACCGTTGGATACAGTTGGTATTGACCCATCCCGATTTGGGTGGATAGTTCAATCACAGTTCTATTTTGGTTTATTGTTTTGTTACACCACCAATCCCATTGTGGCATATTGTGGCATGTTTTGGGTGGTTTTACGGGTGAGTTCTGCCTGAGTCATCTATATCCCGCCATTTCTCTTTCGTGTCAGTTGCAGTGGATAGGTGTGGCTGAAAATAGGCTCCCAAATCCCATGGCTTTTATCGGTAAAATGATCATCATTTTCCCTATTGACACTGAATGGCCATCTTCAGAGTTTACCCCGTTGGGTCAAAATTTCTACCCATCACCCATCACCTCATTGCACGGCAGCGCCAGAGTCTGGACGGCTCCGCGCCAGGAAGAGCGCGCCAAAGCCTTGGCCAGGAAGTGAGGCCTCCCATGAAACCAATAGGATCAGAAGGAATCAGAAGGTCCTTTCTATGAAGAAAAAAACGATCGATTTTCCACTGCTCAAAAAAGGAGGTGCCAAGCCTCCCACCCCTGGAACCACCCAGTCCATGCCACATTGCTCCCCATTTGTACAGCTCCGAGGTACAGCAATTCCAGTGCTCACGGTTATGACAGTGGGCTCCAAAGAGGTGATGGGCAGAGTGCCCAAGGTTGCAAGAGAGCTGGGCCATGCCGTGCCTGCGCAGAGCCAATCTTCCATGGTGTTAGCCAATCATCCAACATCTATCCACCCAGCACCATCAAAGATCCAAAGGGAGTAATTACGTAGGATCTGGCCAATGGCATGCACAACATTGTCAGTTATTCAGGGGTGAGAAGACAAAGACAAAGACTTGGTCCCTTCAAGCCTTTCTGGCCAGCATTCATCACATTGTTCTGCAGCACCACATCCCTCCGCAGTCCCACTTTCACCACGGTCGCCAACTGCTGGGCGGCTTCAAGCCACTGGCTGGACTTCTCACACGCACTGGTCACGGCCCCATGAACCACGATGTTCGGCCGCAGCTCCTTAGATCCCTGCCATGTGAGCCAAGCCACCGCCCCTTGCCACTGCACCGTTCTGCGGCATTCGTTGATGGCATCACAACAGACCTGGAAACTCCCAACGGCTGAAGGCGGCCTGTCATGACACATTCACCGGGCTCCACGCACATGGCTGACAGAGCCTGGTGTATGGCGCCGGTTTTGGCTCGTGCCACTAGCGGCTGAGACCGGGCAAGCGTTTGTAACAGGCCCAGCTGCTATGAGGCCCCTAAGGTTGACAGGAACATCATCTACACACAAGGAACATTCATTGATGCTTATGGGAATCAATCCAACAATGCTGAGCAAAATCGCTCACGTGCCAACAGCAGCAGAACCTCCGTTTTTGACCCTCGCATCTTTCAAGTAATGCGTGAGGCTGCTACCAATGCATTCCACCTGCAGGACAAGGTAACCACATCAACACCACTTATATGAATTATAAACTTATGGCAGGTGAATATTCATCTCACGTCCCAAACGATTCCAAGCAAACACATCAATATTGCATGGTTCCAGAACCTGTAATTGAGGAGGCACCTTTCCGAGATATTGAGGGCAGCCGGTCCCATAGATATTATGATATCGGACCTAGGAGGGTTCTTGGATGTTCTTGGAGTTACCTCCCTACTTTCTGCATTCTGGTTGATATGATTCTAGGTCAAAGCTCTGGAATCTCTTCGGGACGCCTATAGAAACCCTAACTGCTTACAGCGGGTAACCCATTTATGGATGACTCACTGAGCAAGGACTTGCCTCCTTTAAACTAGTATAGATGCGGGAAACCTACCATTATTTTCCTGAGGGAACTATCGGTTTTCCAGATCTCTGTTGGTTTACCCCAGGGTGCAAATTGTATAAGTGGGATGATGCTCCAAATACCAGCCCGGACGTCTTGCATAGCTGCATTATGGCCTGCAAGAGTGTCTCCCGCAGTGCTGTGCCGCACTCAATGGCATCGAAAACGCCTTAATTGGCACGGCCAACCAAGGCGTAAAGCAAACAGCTCAAAAAAAAAATGTGATGTTGGCCTTGATCATGCCGCTCTTTTTCTTGAATTTCTAATTGGAACTTGGAAAGGTCAAGAAATCCAGAACTTTTAGATGGAACTACCCCCAACTAATCAATAGCGGAGAAAGAGTATACAAATCAAAATGGAATCTCTCACTGGACATTGTCATTCTTGGTTGCAGCTTAAATTTGATTTTGTACCGTGCAGCTGTGACTGCAAGCAACAAACCATTAAAAAACACACATGTTTTTTGTCTCTAGCACAAGGTTACAAGATGTTACAAGAAACTAGCACAAATTTGACAGTGTTCCCTATGAGACTCCGCCGGTTTCGTTTTTCAATGTCGGGCATCCCTGTGCCATATGCTCCATGTATCACCAAATCGCAATTCCACGTAGGGAATGGGTCGTGGCAGATACTTTGTACATGGAGCCAATGCTGGGGAAAAAATCACGTACCTGACTGAGTACATAACCAAGACAGGATTGTTTTGGGATGATTCTCCCTGCCATCATTTATGGACCATGACCGCTGTTGACAGATCGCCACAACACAAATCGCTTCGCTGGCGGTTCACCCCCAAAAATAATATTGATTGGGATCATCCACGGTAGTCATTTACCATCAAAGAATACTAAAACCACCAACCAGGCAAGGATTGGTTTCAACAATCACCTCTAGCCTTCTGACATCAATCCCGAATCCCACTCCTCATTTTTGAAGGGGTGTGAAATAGTTTTAGGAATTTTTTTTTGAACAGGTTTGGGAATTTTTTTTGGATTTCTTGGCTGGTACCATTTGCCTAGTGTTTGCAACGGTTTGGAACTTGAATTTGTCATTTTGCATGGTATTTGCCACATTTGGGCATGTTCACCTTCCATTTTGCATGGGATTTACTACATGTGGGCATGTTCACCTTCCATTTTGTATGGTATTTGCCACATTTTGGCATGTTCACCTTCCATTTTGCATGGGATGTTCTATATGTGAGCATGTTCACCCAAATATTTAGAAATGCGGAAGCTTGGGGTTAGATAAAAAGCGGGTGGGGGGGATTGAGGCAGGGCGCTAGCTATCTATCCACCTAGCTAGCTATCTAGCTATCTAGCTAGCTATCTATCTAGCAAGCTATCTATCTATCTAGCAAGCTATCTATCTATCTAGCTATCTATCTACCTATCTAGCTAGCTATCTTGCTAGCTATCTATCTACCTATCTAGCTACCTAGCCATCTATCTATCTAGCTATCTATCTACCTATCTAGCTTTCTATCTATCTAGCTATCTATCTATCTAGCCATCCAGCTGTCTATCCAGCTATCTAGCTATCGAGCTATCTAGCTAACTATCTATCTAGCTATGTAGCTATCTAGCTTTCTATCTATCTAGCTATCTATCTATCTAGCCATCCAGCTGTCTATCCAGCTATCTAGCTATCGAGCTATCTATCTAGCTATCTATCTATCTAGCTAACTGTCTACCTATCTATTTAGCTATCTATCTATCTATCTAGCTATCTATCTAGCTACCTCTTTATCTATCTAGCTAGCTATCTATCTATCTATCTATCTAGCTATCTATCTAGCCATCTATCTATCTAGCTATCTATCTAGCCATCTATCTATCGAGGTATCTAGCTATCTATCTCTCTACTATCTATCTATCTATCTAGCTGGCTATCTATCTATCTAGCTATCTATCTACCAAGCTATCTATCAGCTATCTATCTATCTATCTATCTGTCTATCTGTGTATCTATCCATCTATCTATCTATCTATCACATGTAATCCTGTCAGCTTTCCAGAGAAGGTTAGTTCGCAAAAACCAACTAATGTAACTTGGGTTTAAGTTTAAATTAAAAAAAAAGCGGGAGGGGGGGGTTGGGGGGAGGGCGCAGCGCCTCCCCCAAAGCAGAATGCAAGCACCTCTTCTCACATGTTACGTTGCTAGTTTTCAAGAGAAGGTTGGTCATGTGATACTCAGGGATGTAAATACTGTGCAAAATGCATCTTACATGAAAATCAAGTATTTAAAGCAGGCAAAGCAAAAAAAAAGCAGAGAAGCAAAAAAGCAGAGAAGCAAAGAAACAGGAAACGCACAAAAGCAAAACAGCAGAAAGGCAAAGAAGCAGGAAAAGCAGAAAAGCAGAGAAGCAGGAAAAGCAGGAAAAGCAGAGAAGCAAAGAAACAGGAAAAACAGAAAAGCAAAAAAGCAGAGAAGCAGAGAAGCAGGAGAAGCAGAAAAGCAAAAAAGCAGAAAAGCAGAGAAGCAGGAGAAGCAGAAAAGCAAAAAAACAGAAAAGCAGAGAAGCAGGAAAAGGAGGAAAAGCAGGAAAAGCAGGAAAAGCAGGAAAAGCAGGAAAAGCAGAGAAGCAGGAATCCAAAAATAATTCCTAAACCTGATCAAAAAAAAAATCCTAAAATAATTAGCCCTCCTTTTTGAAGTCCACGTGGCGATTTAACCCTTCAAATCAATCCAACTATTTAACTATCGCTTCAACCCCCGGTTTTTCCAATTATCAACATATAAACACCATGAAAAACCATCAAAACCTTTGATTCTTTCCGGCCATCCAAAGGGCCCTCCCCAGCCGGTCCCACCTGTCATCAACGTCAGGGTGATCATATCCGCCTCCAGCAGAGCACTGCTGGCGCGCCGCATCAAACTCATCGCGTGGCGCCAGCGAAGGCTCTGCGCCTGAACCATGTTTCGGAGATATGGCCATTGAAAGAGGGATTTACCCCGAAGATATGGCCGTGTTCAGGGGGAAAATGACCAACACTGTTCAAACTGACAAACAGAAACTGCTGGGTTTGGGGGCACATTAGTTTTGGATAAATCCAAGCACTGCCTCACTCTGCCTCAACCCTTGCTAGCCGCTAGCCCAGCTGCCTGACTCATCCATTTCGACCAATATTACATATGCCCTATCCCTCGAAGTCAACAAACTACAACCATTAAAACCAATGGCCAATGGTGATGCACCCAAATCCATTTATGAACATCTTTTGAACTCCTTATATGTGATGGTTAGCAATTCCACTAATGTCAAACCCCTAATTTCCGAAGGTTATACCCTCTGGTAAACTAACATAGCCATGGAAAATCACCATCTTTGTTAATAAATCAACTATAAATGGGCCATGTTATGCCATGATCAAAAGCTATTTTGACATAACCAGAGGATACCACCTTTCTCCTTGTTTCTTTTAAAATCACCAGGGCTCCGAGGCCGCCATGGCAGCGTTGAAGGTCACCAGGTTGCCGTCAATGTCCAGCAGCTCCGCCAGCTGCAGCAGTTCCAAGGCCAGCAGCCAGCGGCCAGCCTTCTGCGAGGCGCTGATGCAGCTGGAGATCGAGATGACCTGCAGAAGGGGAAGCTCCGAAGGTTACCATCTGGTTATGACTAACATAGCCGTGGAAAATCACCATGATTAATAGGTAAACCATCTATAAATGGGCCATTTTCCATGGCTATGGTAAGTAACCAGAGGATAACTAAGAAAACATTTATAATATTTTATAATGATAGGATCATAATGGATTATATCATGAAAATGGGAAGATGATTAATGGTGAACTATATATAATTATTTACATATATATGTAGAAATGGGATGATCATGAGAATATAACAGGATTCCCATGATTATGGGAAAATGGATTAGAGAATGGGAATATCATGGGATTATAATGGGACATAAGTGGATGTACGGATGAACTAAAACATTTAATGATTGGTGAAGAAAATCCGATGGAAGATTACTTTCTTAAAGTGAAGGAAATGCAGTGCTATAATGGGACACACACACACACATATATATATATATATTTATGTTACTAGATATATATATATATATAATGGTGCACAAAATCCTCTCAACTGATGGAAATGGATCGTGTGTACAAATAAAATTGATTTTGAGGACTACTAAATCATTTATCTCTATGCAGCTGTATATTCTGAACGTCAAATTAATTGGGGGCTGGCAAGAAATGAGAGAACATTGAGAGATAGAGACAATTGAGTTTATATATATATATCATATCTGAACATCAAATGATTAACAATTGTTATCTCAAGTAGTAGTAAAGCGAAGCAATTCTCTCTCAAACAGAATCATGCGTTAATTTGATAAACCTGGCAGTTCATGGGTCATATGTGGGAAATAATCAAGCTAGGGACTCAGAAAGTTTATAATTGAGAAATAATTAGAAGCAACATGAAGCAACCAATAATGTGATAATCCACAATTCCACAACCCAGGGATTAATTAATTCAGATCTGGGTTAAGTGAAGTGATTTGTAAATTAGTAATCCTTAAATGAGTTGGCCTGCTTTACATCAATACTAAGATTTTCAAGTTTAGACCCGGATAGACCCAGCAAACTTGTTCATCAATGGGAACATCCCCACTCGTGGGGAGACAAGTGCGACCCAGCTTCATTGGGTTGCAATTTCAGTCGGAGCATGTCAGCAAAAAGTTGCAGCGCCACCTGCCATCGCTCCTGGAATTGAGGCTTGGCGGTTTCAACAGCCCTACCCCACAATGTTGTCAGCATGGAATATCATGGGCGAATGTTTCGATACACGGGAGTACGTTTTGAAAGCACAAGACCAACTTGAGAGGGGGGGACGAAAGGTAGGGGGGGAAAAGGCAGGAGGGAGAGGCAAGAGAAGGTGCGACTGTTTGTAACGCAAGCACGCCGACGACGACGACGACGACGACGACTACTACTACTATGAGGACTACTACTACTACTACTACTACTACTACTACTACTACTACTATGACTACTACTACTACTACTACTACTACTATGAGGACTACTACTACTACTATGAGGACTACTACTACTACGACGACGACTACTACTACTACTACGACGACGACGACTACTTCTACTACTATGACTACGACTACTACTATGACGACGACTACTACTACTACTACTACGACTACGACTACTACTACTACTACTACTACTACTACTACTACTACTACCACGGCTACTACTACTACGACGACTACTACTACTACTGCTACTACTACTACTACTGCTACTGCTACTACTATTACTATTACTATTACTTCTACTACTACGACTGCTACTACTACTACTACTACCACTACCACTACCACTACCACTACCACTACCACTACCACTACCACTGCCACTACCACTGCCACTACTACCACTACCACTACCACTACCACTACCACTACCACTACCGCTACCGCTACCACTACCACTACCACTACCACTACCACTACTACTACTACTACTCCTACTACTACTACTACGCCCAGGCCCATTACACTTTACATTCAATTGAGAAGATCAACAAGGGTATTAGGGAATATTAAACTCCCACCCCTGTTAAACTTTACATTGAATTGGGAAGATCAACAAAGGTATTAGGGAATATTAAACTCCCACCCCCGTTAAACTTTGCATTCAATTGGGAAGATCAACAAGGGTATTAGGGAATATTAAACTCCCACCCCGGTTAAACTTTACATTCAATTGCGAAGATCAACAAGCGGATTCATGACTTCGTGGAAATTGCGTTGAAGAGTTTGCCGATTTCTAACGTTAGATGTATAAGGTAGGCATTTTGGACAAGAATCGGTTGGAAAGAAACTTTTGGAGTTTGAAAAGCTCACCCAAGCAGCTGGAATGTTTGTGTGCTTGTTGTTGGTGAATCGTTATTCTTGTAGGTATACCGTGTTGTCAGCACGCGGACTCGTTGGACGGGCCTCCAGGGAGTCGACTGAGCTAGTTGTTGACGCTGTGGAGGCGCTTCCGCCACGACTACATAAAGTATCGTTTTTTTGTTCTGTATAATGACGTTCCGAACTCCGAATACGTGGACCCGGTGGAGGGGCCTCCAAAGGGTCAACCAAGTGAGGGGTTGACTCTGTGGAGGCTCTCCCACCGGATCCACAGAAACTATTGTTTTTGGTTAGTTGTTGCCTTTGTGATTTCTAGCAAGTTTACATAAAGTCCAACCGGGTCCACAGAAACTAATGTTTTTGGTTAGTTGTTGACCTTGTGATTTCTACCAAGTATACATAAAATATCGTTTTTTGTTCTGTACAAGTACGTTCCGAACTCCGAATAGGTGGGCCCGGTGGAGGGGCCTCCAGAGGGTCAACCAAGTGAGGGGTTGACTCTGTGGAGGCTCTCCCACCGGGTCCACAGAAACTATTGTTTTTGGTTAGTTGTTGACTTTGTGATTTCTAGCAAGTTTACATAAAGTCCAACCGGGTCCACAGAAACTAATGTTTTTGGTTAGTTGTTGACCTTGTGATTTCTACTAAGTATACATAAAGTATCGTTTTTTGTTCTGTACAAGTACGTTCCGAACTCCGAATACGTGGGCCCGGTGGAGGGGCCTCCAGAGGGTCAACCAAGTTAGGGGTTGACTCTGTGGAGGTTCTCCCACTAACAAGGGTATTAGGGAATATTAAACTCCCACCCCGGTTAAACTTTACATTGAATTGGGAAGATCAACGAGCGTATTAGGGAATATTAAACTCCCACCCCCGTTAAACTTTGCATTCAATTGGGAAGATCAACAAATGTATTAGGGTATATTAAACTCCCACCCCCGTTAAACTTTACATTCAATTGCGAAGATCAACAAGGGTATTAGGGAATATTAAACTCCCATCCCCGTTAAACTTTGCATTCAATTGGGAAGATCAACAAGGGTATTAGGGAATAGTAAACTCCTACCCCCGTTAAACTTTACAGTCAATTGGGATGTTGATGATGTTGATGATGTTGATGTTGTTGCTGATGATGCTGATGATGATGATGATGTTGATGAAATGAGGGAAAAATTCGTCATCCGTTTGCCCAAACGAACGACACGGGGAATCTCACAAAACATTGGCCCTGCGCAGTCAAAACGCACTTTCCCGGGCAGCACATCCGTCCTGGCCGTAGTACTACTACTACTACCACTACTACTACTACTACTACTACTACTACTA